AGGGTTTTCTTTTTGTATTAATGATACAACATCACCAAAGATGTAAATTGATGGTGCTGACAACTGACTACATTTAATATAAAGTTTATGACATTGTAGTTCTGATAGAACTTAGTAATTCTGAAATAAAACTCTCCTGTACTCTCCATGAAGAAAGACAGAGCTCAGGATTGCAAACTGGCTTTAGATCTTATGCAAGGATATTTGTTGAAATATTCTGAAGTAAGAAAAATACATATTTATTTTAGTACAGCACACAGTACTGTTGCCTACAAGATTCCAACTTGAGGGTGATTGTAGAGGGGTCATGACACAGTTTCTGTTGTTTATATTCTGCAGAAATAAAGCAAAGGCAGGGGGTTTTATAATAATATAAAGCAAACAAATTATAATAAATTGATGAATTTTTCACCTGAATTTCACATGAGAATTAGGAAATTGGAGCACCTTCTTTATATTTTATTTTTTATGCACACATAGACACTGAACACTTCTGAATCTCTCTCCTTATCACTAATAAATTACTTTTTTTATCAGTTTGTTGTTTCCTTTCTCCCAGCTACTCCATGGAAATCCTTTGGTTTTCTTTCTGAAGAAAATCTAAACAGGGTCATTCACTGATGCCTATTCCCACACTTTTCTGCTACTAGTCAGCAATACAGAGTCTAACTGTATGTATAAAGCAGAAACATCTTGTGAGTGACAGTTCTCCAGTGACAGGGAAGTATGTGCCTAGAAGTTGTCTGTGGATAGTCAGGAGACTGCAAGGTAAAGTAGGGGGCTGGTGGCAAGGAGAATTGTAGCTATAATTTTTTCTTTAAAACAGCCAAATCTATCTTCTCTGCTGGATCTCCTGGTGGAGAAGTCTCTCTCTTCTCTCAGATATAGCACCATCAGGTTAGTAAGAATCATAGTCAATGAAGAAGGAAAAAGTTCAATGGGATGGCACCAAATGCTGATACTTAGAAATGGGTTTGAGGCCAGGCAAAAGTTCAGTCCACACATGTGGGGAAAAAGCAGAAGAGAGTAAACAGTGCACGTAACATCCATCTCTGGGTTGAACAACAAGTTGTTCTTTTAGGAGGCCACCTTTCATAGGCATTTTCCTGCTGTGTACTTCTATTCTGACTCAAAGAAAACCTTAGCTATGTTAGTTGACATTTATGCCCGCTTTTCAGCCCAGGCACTGCCAAGTGCCTCAGGTCTTCCAGCCAACTGCGTATTATTCCAGGCTGGTTCCAGTGTTCCTCTCCTGTGGTTTTTGTTTAAACCACCTCCACCACATACCACAGAGAAGACAGCTGTGCAGGGAACATGTGTCTGGCTGAGAAGTGTAACTGGTAATCTACTAGGCTCAGTACAGGGACTGGAGAGAGAAGCTTTTAAAAACAGTGCTGATATTTTGATTATAAGCCAGGGGTTTGCAAAGAGGTGTAGAGAAATTTACACTTATTCACCTGTAATTGAATAATATAAATAGTAATTAGCTGGTGTTGATTTTCCAAAGGTAAGTGTTTGTGTACTTGTGACACTGCATGTAGCTGATGCAGCTCCAGAGAGCCAGGCTATGGCTGCAGGCAGCCCACAACGCAGTTCATCTGGGGGTGCTCACTGGAGACTGGCCCCGAGAAGGCTTGACTCATTTTCTTAAGAATTATAAACACCGAGCTAAACAGGTGAAATTTCAGAGTCTTCAGTGAGTTTTGGAATGTTACTAGACTTATTTATTCAGGAAGTTGTTTTTAAGGGTCCTTCATGACAAGGTGAGTGCTAGCCTGGTGTCTCAGGTTCATCACAGTTGTCTATCTCCAGCAACAAGCAGTGGTAGGTGCTGGAGAGTTTTCTCTCACAAGAACTGGATGCAGCAGTGTGCTGCAGTGATGTGTGGCACAGCTGGTACAACTTAGTATTCAGGCATGAAGACAGGATGACCCCTGTCAGACATGCTCACTGTCTGATACTGAGTTTCCCAGTTTTGGATTACTGTGAGATCCCTATTTGCTTGCGGATGCTTAGGGAGAAACTCTGTGAAGATTTTTGGCATCGGCTCTTAGCCAGGAGGGTGTAGGTCTTGTATTCAAATAAGAAAGGAATTTGAGAGATTATCAGAATTTTAGCATTATTAGGAAGACAGTAATTTATGAAGAATTCAGCTAGCCAGTGTTCTACACCTGGTGTTGTTTCCAGAAGGAATAAATTACTACTGTTGATCTATAAAGCCTCCAGCTCTCTAAAAGCAGGCTTCATGCTGGTGCCATAAATCTGCAGTCTGCAGTTGGGACTGATAGAACCACGGCTTGCTAATTCAGAAGGAAAGAGCAGACCATGTCAGGCTGTCTGCCGTCATAACTTTACGGTATTTCCAGGCTCTATTTTTCCCAGGATTCTATTGTGTGATTGAAGAATTTTGGCATGGGGAGGGAGTTAGGATAAAAGGGAGTGGCAGGTGCTAGGGTATGATGGATTCTGGGCTCTGCTTGCATGAGTCCTTTCCCTGGACAGAATATAGCTATCCCCAGACATGTTTTACCCTTCAGGTTGTGCAATTATAAAATATGAGTTATGCTGGATTAAACTGGGTTGGCAATGAAAAAATAAACCAACTTTGCTAAAGTTGAACACACAAGCACTACATAACTTCCTGTCCCTCTAGCGTTCAGCAACTGTTTATTTGAAATAATTTTGTGCCCAAGGTTAAGTTTCCATTTAATGACAACAAAACGTAGAAAATGTGATTCTGACCACAGGAGATTTGATGACAAACTTCTGTGCAAGATTTAGATTTTTTTTCCCCACTTCAGAGTAGCTAACCAGCAGTGTTTACTTTTCTTTCAATTCTTTATAGAATGATGGATCACATCAAATCTATTTAAGTAGGAGCACAGCAAAAAAGTGATGCAATAATTATTAAAATTGCATGGACTATTATGCTATGACTGCTACTGGGTATATCTTAGCCAAGAGCATATAAAAGTATGAATATCATGGTTCATAAATATTTATCTGGGGGAAAAATCCTGACAATAGAAGTCTTTTTAATCTAGCAGACATGCATATCATATTCCTGCAAAAAATTCAAATTTTGTGCTTTTTTTTAATAGAAGGGGTAATTAATCATCAGAATAATTTGTCCAGGGGTTGTTTTGCCTTCTCTGTCACTTGGAGTTTTAAAGTCAAGATTAAAATATCAGCTTGAAAGATTTGCTCTAATCCAGAGGTTATTGGACTTGATGCCACAATTAATAGACAAACATCTCTGACTGTAATGAACAGGGAGTTTGACTAGAAGACCCTATCTCTTTCTTTTGACCTGGCCACATCTGGGTTTATGGTATAAGTCAGGGTGAGCTTCTGAGGACTCAAGAGATGCTTGAAAAGAGTAAAAGCTCTGTACTAGAGTTCCTCTGAAATAGGGTCTGGACAGCATGCTGGACAACATACTCTAGCTGACACTCCTCTGGATGGTGAGATTGGACTAGACAATTTCTGGAGGTCCCTTCTGACATCGATTGTTAAGTGGTTCTGTAGTACATCATATTTTTTTTCAAGCTCAAGTAATCTTTAACCTTTGGGACCAGCAGACTTCTGTGCATCCTCAAAACAAGCAGAACTGGGGATGCTGTAAAGGTCTTTCTTTAAGAAAGACCCTCAGATCCTTCACAGATGCTCATTGCTTCCAAACTGCAGTTTGACAGCCATGATAATAGCCTATGATGTCATTAAATCAGCAGGTAAAATACACCTTCATTATTTAGCCTTTATCAGTTACTAAAGAATGTAATATCACTCCCTCAACAAGTGGATTGACACAGGAATAAACCTACTAATAAAATGGTGGAACAGCTGAGATGATGAGGAAGAAGTAATAGAGGTCCCATCTGGCCCTTACAGAGACATAATAAAGGTCTAATCTGTTCATCTAATACTGCTTCTGTCAGTCTGTGGGTTTGGGTACTGTCATCGTGGCACAGAGAGCTGTGTGGGTCATGGGAGCAATGGGAGTTGGGGGCAAACTGTCACCAAACATTCAAGCTGCTGTGGGGTGCTGTGCTTCCCCTTGAGAGACGAGACTGGTGCAGTGTCTGGTGAGTGTTCCAGCTGCAGACAGCAATTTATGGCCAAGCTGGTTAATGTTTAAATGCATTGGAAGTCCCCCTGAGGGCAAAATGTGGAGAACCTTACCCCTAAAATGCTCTCCATAGCAGATGGCAGCCTTACTGGGGTTGGACTCTCAGCAAGCAGCTGGAAGCAGGTTATTTTCCCATGGCAGTTATCTAGAGAGTCACAGTGGAAGTTAATTTAATTCTGCAGTGGTTTACTGAAGGCAGTGTCCAATGATATATTGGTTTCAAAGCATTCCCTTATCAGCTTCATCTCTCAGGTAATAATTCTTCTAGATCTTCTAGGCTCCTTAAATAAAATATATCTTCTCTGTAATTCTTCCCTGTCCCCTAAAAAGAAGTAGGAACAGGCATATGCCTGATGCAATACTTTTTATGCCACAAGTATCGTTACCAAGCAACCATCCCGTGTGGCTTTGGCAGAACACAAACTTCTTCAGTCACTAAGCCTTCAAACACCTGAACCAAGATGTGCCAGCAGAAAATATCAGAGATCTAGGTGAAGCAATGTTTTTTCGAAATCAACAAATAATTTTTCCAAATCAACAAATGATTAAGGATAATTACCATACATTAGCACTGTGGCTATTATGCACATTTTCCAAAATATTGATAAAAATGAATGTTTACTTGCATGTGAAAATTAATTTTATCTATTGGTGAGAGGAGGCAAACTCTCAGGTTGTCAGTATTCTAAATATTTTTATTATGGCAGGTCCAGTGCATTCTGAATGAAATTGGAAAAATATTCACAGCTTTCACTCCCAACTAGAATAAAGGGAGAGATGAGAGACTTGCCAGTTCCAACCAAATGCTCTCCCATCAAATACTACAGGCAGCAATTTGTGTCATCACAAAGCTAGTGTGAAATTATCTTACCTTACAGTGACATTACTGACTGGTCTTCCATTTCACAGTCATTAGAATAAAATTTGTGTACTTTGTTCAGCTTCCAGATTTGTGACTGTGAGGCTTTTTTGAGTCTCTGCAAGTGCATACTCAAAGGTGAAGGATCAACAAAGGTGAAGGTTTAACTCATTGCAACTTAGTTGGCTACAGTCAGTTGACATCTTCTGGGGACTAGTTGTAGAGTATGTTTTTATATGCCCAGTGGATTAAAGTAGCAGAAAACAAAGTAGACAAAGACACATATCAAAATTCGTGGGTATAGATACAGTGACATTCCAACTGGAGGACATGAGCATCAGCCAAAATAGGCCAGTCAGGTAAGAAGTTTCAAAATGTCTTACCACTACCTGAAAAGAGACAATTTCCAACTAATCAGCCTTTCGTTTGCTTCTCTGCTCGTTGGAGGAGTTGACATTCTACAGGAGCACAGCTTGGTTCCTCACATGGAAAGGTCTTATAGTCCATTAAATCCTCTTAGTCCATAAATAGAAACAGGAGTTAGAGACCTTTGGAAATGAGAACGTAACTATACACAGTTACATTCATCTGTCTGAAAAAAAAGAAGTGGTGGAAACCAGCAGGAAGATGATGAAATTACCGGTACTTAAGGACATGTATTTGCTCTTATACTGGTATCTGGTTTAAAAATGTAAATGTTATGATGTACATATATAAATTATAGCATGCAGAATCTTGCACATACAGAGGCCAAGTTTGTCCTTTCACATGCAAATAAATATCCAAGAGCTAAGAACAACAGGGCCCAAGGTCCCTTCGACAGCTGTGTGATCGAATAGGTTTGACAGTTCCAGTCCCTCACATGCTATAGATGCTGCATTCAAAAGTGTTTGAAGTCTTCATAGCACATAGAAAAACCCAGAAAATTGATCCTGACCAAATGACTGACTCAAAGGCACAAATTTCTCTTTCTCTTTGATTTCTTGAAGCTGATTCCGGATAAAAAGTTCCTAAGACATAATCCTAGCTTCCAAAATGTACCACTTCTCAAAAAGGAAGACTTTTGAGATATAGTTATAAATGTTGCCCTTTGTGTTTTGTGAGGGAAAGGAATCATGAAGTATCTCATCCTATTTTGATCTTTCACGTAAAATTTCTTTGAATGGCCTTTCAGTGAATGCAAAAGGGCAGGGAGAAAACTCTGTATGTTATTTCCTTCAGCATTTTATGGTTCTAGGGCTGTCTCCTGTCATCATGTATCATGTCTTAACGTGTGATTTGCCTTGGCTTGTGGACCCTGGCTTTCTGAGACTTCAGTGTACCACTTTTTATTTTTTGTTAATAAAAAATCTACAATTAATTCAATGGAACTGTACAAATAACCATGACTCAAATAGTGTTGTGCTAATGCCTGCTAATCTGGACACTGTGCTATTCCTTCTCATTATTGCAAAAAAGGCTATAAAACTCAGCTAATAAAATGTTCTACTGCATAGATGAAATATTGTTAAAGTTCAATCTTCATTTTCTTTTTTTCAGTGTGTCTGTCAATCCTAGAACTAGACAGCATGATTATCATTGCTGTTAATTTTTTCTTTTTAGGAATCATTTGTTTTCAGAGCAAATAACTAGTTTTTACTAATTTCTACTGATTTGATATTAAAATATTGTAATATACAATTATTAGTTGCATTTTGTTGGTGTATGTAGAAATAAAATTTTGAGGCCCAATAAAAATCCTTCTTAAAATAAAGGGAACTGACTAGAATATCCTGCCCCAGTGTCCTGAACAAAATGCCCAGTGGTAATTTTTAATTTTTGAGTTTACTTGGTACCTCCACAACTTTATCTTTGCATGTCACAGGGTGAATATGCATGGAGATTAGATTTACTCTGCAATATCTGAATCACACTCTTTCCTGCCAATTAACATCAAAGCCAAAAAAAAGAAAAGGCTTAGTCTGCCCAGTAGGTGAAGAAATTTCACAGGTAGCTAAAAGTAATTTTTCCTGAGTTTAGTATACAGCACATGTTAATGGATTTGTAGTATTCAGAGATCCTGATCAAATAATGTCTTTTTTATACTGTTGCATAAACACATGCATATTGCTAATTAGAAGTTCTTTTAAAATTGAAATCATATTTCCATTTCCATATTTTGGGAAAGGGATTTCAAATTTTTTTGCACTCAAAATTGTGTGCAGCTACATTGTATATATGTGGATAAAGGCTTTTTTCAGAGTAAACAAGGGTTCGCTTATTTTGTTGAGTTCCTCTCCAGTTTGAGTTGGGTAAGCAAGTCCAACAACAGTGTGACAGCTTTTCCCACTGACGAGGACACCACTTACATCAGTCTCCAAGTTTTCCTGTGGAACTGTGTATTTAATATTCTTTCTCCTGGGAAGTAAATGGAAAAAACCAAAATTAATCACCATGGAATGTCAGTGTCCACTCAGCACTGTTTTGTCATACAGTTCTTTTTGTGGATAATGGAAAGATAATTTGATATATCACTTTCTGTTTCATTTTAGGATACATGCCTTACAGCTTTTCAAGTATAATAAAGATATGACATGTGCAATAACCTTTTCTTTCATTGTGAATAAAAATGTGTTATAATAAAATAGGCTGGCAGAGTTCCATTAACCAGAACACTTCAACAAGTAACTTGCTTCAATTAAAAAGTAAGTAGAGGAGGAAAAGAATGTCAGTTTGTCTTTGAAACCAGGAACATGCAGGGTCTCATGACATAATTTTTTTTTAATGTTTTGAGGCAACAATACAACAGCTAATAAACTCCTTATTTATCTAATTTGCATTTAAGATGGTTTCTTAATTAATTTTTGATCTTTCTTTGACATGTATGACTCTATAAATTGCATTAAAATGTGCTTAATTCTGCCAGCATCAATCAGCTGTCAAGAAAAGCAAACCGAACTTCCTAGAGATTTTCATCTACAGAGTCCATATTCTGCAGAACTTTCATCTTCCAGCAAAGCTCAGATTTAGATAAAATGCATACCTGTCACTTTAAACAATGATATAAATATATTTTTCAAGCATGCATTTCCATACTGTCTTGTTTCACCCGAGGAGATTTTATCAACATCTGATGGATGTATTATCTGCTTTTGCCCAATTCTGGTTAAATTATAATGACAATATCACTAATGTTAATAATATCAATGTTTTAGGGACTTCCTAACCTGTATATATGGTGGGGAAAACAAACTGCTCTGTCTTCCCGTGAGTTAACCTGGAGATGGGAGCTCTTGTAATGAAGATTATCCTCTTGAGAAGAACCAACCTGTAGGACTGCTCTGAGATTTGACTTTCTACATTATATCAAATCACTAATCACGGCAATTCTGTAGCTTGGGTCTTCTCCTTATTGATTCAACTGCTTCTTTCCCCCTCTGTCTCTTCCATTACTCCTCTTGGTCTCTTTCTTTTCTTTCTATTACTACTCTTAGTCTTTAGGTACTTGCACAAGAAAATTACCAAAAAGTAATGATAAACAGAGACAAAAGTGCCCTGCTTTTCTGCAAGTAATCTTTATCCTTGTAAAAGATTTCATTTTCCATCCTTACAAACAGAATTCATGACCATTTTTAGGCTTGAAACTGGCAATTGTAAGTGCTTGTTAGCTTCTCAAAATATACCTTTAAAAATAATTATCGTTGGTGAGAAAGGAAAATTACTTTGATACATAGGTATTAAAATGTGAAAAAAAATCAAGCTGTGCTGTGCTGTATTCTCTAAAAGAAAAACATATAACTTCACGATTGCTTAAAACACCCATGAAGTTTCAATGACACAAAGTTGCAAGAAACAGCCAAATGGATTTCTCAACAGACTCATCATCCTTTGTATAATTATCAAACAAAACATTTCATATGAAAACATGACTGTATAATTACGGGAGCACCTTGAGCACCCTGATTCACCAGGTGTCTCAAAGAAGCAGTATGGTTCAATGGGTATGACATTAAATTGGTTATTATGAGAACCAGATAATTTTCTCAGCTTTGATTGCAGTGAATTTTAGATACTTCATGTTTAAGGTTATTCATTTGTAAAATTGGTTTGGTAATGCCTGTCTCCACTTACATGTCTATGACAGAGCATTTTTAACCATGGTGCCTTCAAATATGCAGGAGAAAAAAGAAAGACTTTTAAGAAGGAGGACAATACTGAAACAGATTTATCTTTTTAGTCCTCTGGCTCAACAACCGTGCAATACTTAACACAGAATTATTCTTCCAACTGTAAGTACTCCTAACTGTCATGGACTCAGTTTTTTCAGCATTTACTACTCCTTAAGATAAGGCAAATGTGGGAATTCTCCTGTGTCTACCCCATATTCTCCTTTATAGGGACTCCAACAGTATCTGCAAGAATGGCCAGTCATACACAACATACTAAAAAGTACAATGGCAAAGTGGTTTCAGGAAGGATATAAACAAGCAAAGCAAATTAAAGATGAGAAAGTGGGGAGTACTACCAGGAATATTCAGCAAGAGAGTGCAGGCATGGATGGTTTAAAGTACATGGAGGTCATGATGCCTTAATGTTTTATTATCTGGTTTGAAGGAGAAGGATGATTTGATTGATGAAACTATAATTTTTTCTGGCCTGTTAAAGAATTAAAAGTTGTTTTGCTGGAGTTCATTTATATAACATACTATAAATCAGAGGGCCATCAGTTACAATGAGCTACTCAAACAAATAGTAGTTGATTGTCAGCTGTACTACTAATTACATATTTACTTCTGCAGAAGTGTGTATCTATAGGCCTATGTACCACACTTTAAGCCACTAAAATGCTTAGATCAATCTTCTACTTGCTATCCTGTTTAGGAATGAATTGCATCATTTGTTTTTGTCTGAGCCAATGGACACAACTTGCCTATTGGGACTTCAACGTGAGAGAGAACTGTCCTAAACACCCAGAAAACTGTACACATTGACTAGGCAAGAAATTTTCCCATAAAGTAATCTCAAGCCCACCAGGGCATGAAGAGAAGTCACTTGGTTAGCAAAAAGTCTGTGCATTATTCCTTGAGATTCAAAATAACTTTATTTGGAAATCACAGTCAAAAATAAAACGTGTTCTACAGTCCCTCATATGAAATGTATCATTGCCTTTTTGGAAACCAAAATTCAATTCCTTTAGAGGTAAAAACAACACACAATCTTGTGTAGCCTTGGTGCAAGTTTGTCTTTGACCTAAGGAGAAGGAATTCAAGAACAGCAGAAGGGTTTTTCCTAGCAATCCTGGTGAAGATCTAAGGTGAAAGGAGCAACTCTTAAGGATATAGCAGCAGATACCCACACAACTACCATGGTCATGACGTCTCCGTAAAGGTGACCGATCAATACCAGTTACACGACATGCATCTCACACCCAAAGAATGAAAAACATCAGCTCATTTTTAGCAGGTCATCAAACATTCAAGAGCAAATATTAAACCTCACTCGTCTCGGAGGCAGAACAGATCCAGAATTAGAAAAACTGCTGGCAGATGGTGCCTTTGATGCCTTGTGAAAAGAAACACGGCAGCACTTCTGGGTGCGGGGGGGGCCCTGGGGCACCACTGCCACCAGCCCTGAGCATGGTGGCACAGCCACGAGCAGTCACAATGGAGCAGAGCCTGCTCCCTGCTACCGAGCCCTTCCTTTGCGCACCACGGGTGGGGGACTGATACATTCATATTATGCTTCACAGCTCCCCCAAAATAAATCCTCCCTGGGGTTCTGGGAAGGAAAAGGAGGCAGCTAAAGCAAACAGAATGGTCACATGATAATGAAACATGCAGCGCCAGAGGTACCTTGGAAAGATATGAAATGCTTTGATTTTTTTTTCCCCAAAGATGAAAGAAACAAAAGTTCAATATAACCAATAATTAATTTAGTGTAAATTGCTTTGCAATTGTTTTAGTTTCACTCAGTTTAACATGTTATTTTCCTCCCCTTCTTGTTGGATGTTTCAACTATCTTCAGGAGATAAAAGATGTTTCACTCCAAAGAAATAGAGGAAGCCTTTTTACTATTATTATTTGGAACTGCAGATAAGAGAAGTCTGTGAAAATAATACCAGGGACAGACTACCTTGAAATTTGTTTGACAGAATTCACGAAATGACTTCGTCAAAATCTTAATAAATCACAGTCTCTGTCCACTCCTAGACTGAGAAAAAACAAAGATAGCAATTAATATTTTAAGAAGTTGCCTGTTTCTTCCTTGCGATTTTAGGAGTTCTGGGGAACCATACTGTGAGACACAGGATTTTAGCTTAGCTTATAATCTGGATTTTTGCAGTGCTTCATTTCAGTTAGAGATGATGGAATTTGTTGCTTAGGACTCTACAAATACAAGATTGTTCTGTCTATCCTTCTTTAAGGATTGTTGGTATTTTTTTTGCTGTGTCTGGTAAAACTTCAAAAAGATAAATCCTAACACAAGGAACACATTTTTAAAAGAAAAAAAGTCCGAAGTTAAATAGGTATAATTTTAAAAAGTGACAATTTAATGAAAATCAGGATGTTTTTCAGTTTATATTTAGACTGTAACAATACCTGTGCACATATTTTATGGGAGATATGGACACATAAAGAATGAATTTATGGCTTTATAGTTTAAAATGTGCTATTTTCAATGATTTAAAGACTTCCCCCATGAAGTAAAGCAGAAAGATGTAATTAGCCACTAAGTAAAAAAACCCCTGTACCTATGAGTTTTGCTTTTCTGTTAAACAAATAAACTTCTACTAATACTTCATGCAAATAAAATGAAACCTATCAGAATGCAACCAGGAAATACTTCTGTCTGATGTTTTCGTAGCCTTCAAAATATTCTGTTACTTGTTTTTCTGAAAACTTTTCTGATGTTCAAGTTCACTGTTTGAAGGTGTGATACAGCTGGGGAAAAGCTGTTAGACATTGCCTATGAGAAGGAATTGTTACTTTGCTAAGTCAAAGTGCCAGCCACGTCATTTGATTTCACAAAGAAAATGTGCCAAGGCTTGGGAAGAAACTGGCCAGGTGCAGGAATAAGACCCCAGGTGAAAAGGACAGTGACTGAGGCCTGAACAACACACAGATTCCAGTAAGTGGCCTGAGATGTCTTCAGGAGTCCAGCTACATGAAGGAGGAGTGCACTGCAGTGGCAAGGGATGGAGCACCTAGAGAGGTGTCTGTGAGAGTCAGGTGGGGAGTGAGGGGGAAGGATTTGCAAGGCTAAGCAGGATTGTGTCCGATGGAAAATGAAGGTATGGCATTATGCTGTTTGTAGGTTAATGTGAGGGTATAGGGAAGTGTAGCCTGAAGAAACGGCCTCTAGAAGAAGAGAAAGGAAGGACTATGCAGACGCACTAAAGTTCAGATATTGGCCGAAGC